AAGGTTAGTCCCGCCCACTCACTCTACAGCAGGTTAGCCTCACCCAATCACTCTACAGCAGGTTAGCCCCGCCCAATCACTCTACTGCAGGTTAGCCCCGCCCGTTCACTCTACAGAAGGTTAGCCCCGCCCACTCACTCTACAGAAGGTTAGTCCCGCCCACTCACTCTACAGCAGGTTAGCCCCACCCAATCACTCTACAGCAGGTTAGACCCGCCCACTCACTCTACAGCAGGTTAGCCCCACCCAATCACTCTACAGCAGGTTAGACCCGCCCATTAACTCATGTCATGTGCACGTTTAATGGCATATAGCAACCAACAACATTCAAGTGGAAAACAAATAGAAGCCGTTTAGCTAAAAATAAATATAAAATATACAATAACCTGTTTGCATAAGCGGGTCCCTGAAGGATTAGTGGTTAAGCCTCAGTGCTTTCACCGCCGTGGCCTGGGTTCGATTCCCAGCCACTTGGGTTACACATGATAGTGCACTCCCAGTGCCGGTCCCAAGCCTGGATAAAATGGGTGGAGGGGTTGCATCAGGAAAAACTGTGACAAATCAAATATGCGGACTAATGATCCACTGTGGTGACCCCTAACAGGAGCAGCCAGAAGAAGAAGAAGAAGAGCAACAACCTGATTGCATAAGTATGCACACCCTTTTATATTGGGACATGTGCTCAGAATGAACCAATCACATTCACTCATGTTCAAAAGTAATTATCATACAGCTGTCATCAATGGGATTATTCTGATTAACCCCAAATAAAGACCTGCTGTTTATACGAGTTTCTTCTTCTCGTACATCTTCTTTTCATCCAACTGCTGAAGCCATGGTCCTCAAAGAGCTTACAAAGCCTGTACAGAGTCTCACTGTAGAAAGGAATCGATCAGGAGAGGGGTATAAAATAATTTCCAAAACATTAGATGTACCATGGAACACCGTGAAGGCCATCATCAACAAGTGGAGAAAATGAAGCACCAGAGTGACATCACTAAGAATGGGACATCCCTCCAAAACTGACTAAAGGACAAGAAGAAAAGTTATCAGGGAGGCTGCTGAAGGACTTACAGCAAGATTAAAGCAGCTGCAGGAACATCTGGTGAGTACTGGTCACTTCCTACATGTGATAACAGTCTCTCATATTCTTCACATGTCTGGGCTATTGGGTAGGGTGGCTAGACAGAAGCCCTTTCTCATGAAAAAAAAAACCCTAAGCCTTAAATCACCCCAAACCATGTGGCCAAATGTGTTACGTTCTGATGAGAACAAAGTAGAACTTTCTGGACATAATATGTTTGGTGCATAAACAAGACAGCTTCACCCAAAGAACACCATAGCCACGGTGAAGCATGGTGGTGGCAGCATCATGCTGTGGAGCTGCTTCTCTTCAGCTGGGACTGGAGCTGTAGTTAAGATAGAGGGAATCATGAATAACTCCAAATTCCAATCTATTTTGGAACAAAACCTGCAGGCCTCTGTTAGCAGGCTGAAGATAAGGAAAAATAATTTCACCTTCCAGCACGATAACGACCCAAAGCACAAATCCAAGTCAAGAAAGGAACAGCTTCAGAAGAAGAAGATCAACGATTTGGAATGGTCCAGTCAGAGTCCAGATCTAAATCCTATCAGAAACCTGTGGAATGATATGAAGAGGGCTGTGAGCTGAGTTCCCTCGCTATCTGATAGATCTGGAACATTTCTGCAGGGAAGAGTGGAATAAAATTACTGAATCATGATGCGTTAAGTCGATAGACTCATTACACAAAAACACTGAGTGCTGAATTATAAGCAAAAGGTGCTTTAACAAAGTATTAGTTAAGGGGTGTGTTTACTTACGCAACCAGGTTATTGTTTCTATTTGTTTATCACTTGAATGTTGCTGGTTGCTATTTCACATTAAAGGTGGAAAAAGATCTGACATGATTTATCTTGGTTTCATTTTTTTTTGCATCTCAGAAACCTTTTTTTTTTTTTTTTAACAGGGGTGTGTAAACTTTTGATAGCGTGAGAGAAAGTCCACTTCTGCAGCACACTCTCAACATTACGCTTTATTTAGAATAACTGAAAGCCCATGCGCTCGTCGTGTTCTGTGTCAGCTGGAAAAGTGGAAAGTGCAGAATGTTTTTGCCCTGGGTGAGGTCTTTATGAAGTGATGATGGCAGACTCTGCTGTAAACTCCATTTGGCGAAATACAAACACACTTTTCTTTTCACATAACTTTTAAATGATCTTCTGTGATGCTTTTGTACAGTTGGATTTAAAAGTCTTAGTCTTGAGACTCGAAACAAAAAGTTAAAGGTCAAAATTTAGTTACTTCTGAGTTCTGAATACTGATGAGTTGTATTTCTTAGGATATACTGTATTCTGCAGCAGTGTTGCTTTAACAGAGGATAATGCATCTGTGTGTGTGTGTGTGTGTGTGTGTTGCATAAGACCTAATGTCAAAATAAATGTTCTAATTCATTTGGATATTATCTAAAATTCTATTGCACATTTTAGCCTCCTTCCTTCACCTTAACAAGATTTGATGATATAAATGTGCATCTCATCTCATCTATTCTTTAGAGTATATATTAGAGTATAAGTTTTATATTTTACAGCAAAGTGTGAAACTTTAAAGGTGATTTTGGGTCCAGATGACTGAAAACAGTCACATTTGAGAGCTTTGTTCACCGTGAAGCTGTTGTTTCTTTAGTTTTGATAGAAGGTACCTAGAAGGTATCATTTGGTAAAAGTTTATTAATGAGTGCAATAATGTGTAGTTGGGAGGTGACGTGTCGGCCGCAGGGGCTACAAGGATGAGATTATATACCTCATTACGAGTGAATTAATGAAGTAGATGTGGTATCCGCTTCCTTCAGGTTGTTTGTGTTGGCAGTGAATTCCCTGTAAAACAGTCGTGTAGAGAAGTGCTGTAGAAATGTTTTCAAGGTAATAAGCCACGAAGACTCGACTTACATCAGGTAGAGAAGAGTCGGATTCTTGATAAGTGTCCGCAAGGCAAAAATAACATTGTTCAAGAAGTTATTCCTTTAAAGTTCACGAGTTGTAGCAAGTGAGAGCGAAACAGTAAGAAAGGTTATGAACGCTAACTCCACCCGTCACGCTAACCTTAACTGACAGCTGCAGAAAAAAAAACCAGATTCTCTTGATTCTCTCGATTCTCTTTTTTTTCTTCAACGATGTGCAGATCTCCGTAATCAGTTTTCCAACTCCAAAGCAATGTGAAGTCAGTCATAATTAAATAATAATAGTAAAAATAAAAAAGTCTAGACTAAACTGGTGGTGAAATGTGAAGGTATGGGCTAGCAAGTGTGCTATGTGTATGTTAGAAACTAGCTAAGCTAGCTAGCAGATTTGAAGATGGACAAAGACTTGCTTTGTCCAGTGTGTTTTTTTTTAGTTCAGATGAGAATCAATAGTAGCTATATATAGGTACTAAAGCTAATTAATTAAACACAAATTAAATAATGGTCTAATCAGTGTGAAAATTGGTTGTCTGGTTTAAGTTACATGCTCGGCTTCTTAGATTAGTTTAGCAAAACAAGCTATCTGTACTAGCTACATACACTCACCAGCGACACCAACGATCTGCTGCTTTTTTCCAAACTTTATTTTTATTCGTAACGTCTCTGTAAACATTTAATGATGATGACAGGAGAAGATGAAACCACGCTTATTAGCTTTTCTTCTGTTTTTGTGTCAAACAGTAAACAGGAACTAACTGCAGGTAGGAACGAAACTTGTGAGCGGGGAACTGAAGAAACGTCGCACCACACGCGCTGTAGGATCGGTCCGAGGAATCGTTCGAGCTGATGGTTTCGATTACAGCTTCATACCTCAAGTTGAGAAAAAAAGAATACGTACAAGTTGAGAAAAAAAGAATACGTAGAAAGTGAATGCTCTGTCGCTCGGCAGTGTGAACGATGGATAAGACCGTGTTCCAGGTTGCTGTAGAGGAGATGGAGGGAACTTGAGAAGCTTGAAGAACTGCTGTGAGCGTTGTGTATTATGTGTATGACACTCCAAGTGCTTCAAAGCCTTCTGACTTCAGGTCTCGGCTTGAACACTACAGCGCTGCTTTGATCGTCTGCTTTCTGTTCAGAGTGAAGGTGTGTGATGGAGGCGTGTGGAAATCAGGTTGTTGATGCAGATCACTGCTATAGCCTGCTGGTTGTGTGTGTGTGTGTGTGTGTGTGTGGATTCCTCGCTGATTTAATATCTCTCTCTGTTTTTTATCTGCACAGAGTGTCAGGGCTAATCGGAGCTCTCTGAGCACGGCGCTAATTTGCTGTTTGAGCAGCTTCAGTAATTGGCATGTAGTTGGGAAGAGGAATGAATCCATCGCTTCCACTCGATGTTAAATGACACCTTTTATACCTCAGGTTTTGTTTAGATCGTGGTATAATTTGACTCCACTTCATGCTAACTCAAAGGCGCGTGTGCACTGTGAGGGAATTATGGAAGGCAAGACACCTTGCTGAGACGATCCTCATTCTTCGTGCTTCACATTTCTTTTAAGATCTTGAAAGCCGCTTGATTGATGGGATTTAGCTACCTTGGGTTAAAGACACGTTTTTACGTCGCCATTTTGAAATATCGAGCAGTGTGATGCAAGCTCATGTCAAGCGTTACTCTTCAAAGTTGATTATTTTCCTATAACAGCACATCCCTAAGAGTTTTATTTCTCTTACACCACAGCAATTTGCCAACGATTACATTTTTTTTTTACTAATTAAAAATTTGTGAGATCATACTTTTTATCTGTTTATAGTTGCATTTAAATGTTGTGGAACATCTCACTTAAGTTATAGCAGCTACAAACAGTCGTTCCCTCACCAGCCTCTCTTTTTTTCTCTCTCTTCAACTTAATAAAACAAAAATCTCAGCTTGTTACCGAGAAAACGCAAAGAAGCGTAAACTCCTCTGTCCTGAAGATGTCAGGAAACTTAAAGTTACAGCTCTACCTCTGACACTGGAGACTCCTTCCATAACTGTTAAATAAATAAATGTCTTCTCACAAAATATCAGCGATTATTTTTTTATCTGTTTATGTAGAGCGTTCGCTGTCCACGTCCCTGTGAATGAGCTGTTGCTATAGAAACGATAATGTATTAGAACCAGCGCATTAATATAAACCTGCGTTACTGTCAGAGCTGAGAAAATTGTCCAATCAGATTACAGAATTCAGCAGCAGTGTGCTGTAATACCTAAGAAAAGGCAGTGGAACAGTACGCTGTGCCGTTCTCGGGGGTTTCTCATGTGCCAGATCTGGCTTGGTGAATCCTGTAGATAAAAAATCAACTTTTCTGCACTTCTGATTCATGGCTGCTGTTTGTTGCAGGTGATTAAGTATTCATCAGGCTTGGGAGTGATATTGTGTGGACACCTGCAGCTCTAATATTTGTCCCGTTTTTAGTACCTCGATGTGTTCCTTTGATGTTTTCTCTCATTATGGCTCCGAGCTGGCCGG